GAGTTTACCACATAAGATTATCAAATTACCAGTGAAGAAGTCTAGTAATAAGGGAGAAATTCATAAGACTGGAGGTACTAACATCACAAATATTATCTGTAATAAATACAAGATTAAATGTCTGATTGATGGAGGAGCCTTCTGTTCTATAATTAGTCCTAAATTATTAGATAAAATACTGCCTGAGTGGAAAACGAAATTGATCCCCATCAAACCTGAGAAATTCTACAGTTGTAACAGTAAACTGAACCCTATAGGAATCATAACTCTGGATATTATATTTCCCCATGCTAAGAATAACATACAAATCACGGTAGAATTAATTGTAATGGAAGACTTTAGAATGAAATACATCATTTTAGGAAATGATTACATAATTAATTACGGGATAGATGTTATAAATAGCAATGGCAGATATTTTACTATCAATGGAGATTTATCCACTAAATTTGAACTTGGTATTACTGATAAAATGAACTTAGTACAACTAGAATGTAATGCTTTGGAAAATAATAATTTTGGAAATACTATTGAAGAAGCTAAAATTTCTAGTACTCTAACAGAAGAAGAAAAGTCACAATTATATTCTTTACTTCACAAAAAGAAATTGGCTTTTGCTACTACTGATGAACCCTTTGGACGCATAAAAGGACATGAAGTCAGAATTAATCTTAATACTTCTAGACCTTACCCTCCAGCATTAAGAAAAGCTGCATACCCAGCATCCCCAAGAAGCAGAGAAGCCTTACAACAACATGTAACTGACCTAGTAAAAATGAATGTACTTAGAAAAGTTGGTGCCAATGAAAATGTTGAAGTAACTACTCCTGTAATTATTGCGTGGCATAATGGTAAATCTAGAATGGTTGGAGATTTCAGAGCTCTTAACAATTACACAATTGCTGATAGATATCCAATGCCTAAAATAAGTGAAGCCATCACGCAATTACAAAATGCTAAATATATTACGTGCATGGATGTACTTAAAGGATTTCATCAAAATGTTATTCATGAAGATAGTAGACATTTAATGAGAATTATTCTACATATGGGTATTTATGAATACTTAAGAATGCACCCTCTCACTTCCAAAGAATGATGGATACTGAATTTCACAAAGAATTACGTGAAGGATGGCTAATAATTTATATTGATGACATTATTATTTTTAGCACTGAATGGAATGACCACCTTGAAAAATTGAAAATTGTTCTAGAAAGAGTTATCAAAATGAATATGAAAATCTCTATGAACAAGTGTCAATTTGGCTTTCAAGAACTCAAAGCATTAGGACATATTGTTTCAGGATTAAGTATAGCTATTGATAAAAATAAAGTAGCAGCAGTAATGATGAAACCTATGCCCACTAATGTTAAAGAAATACAGTCATTCCTTGGTTTTGCTAGCTATTACAGACAACATATAAAGGATTTTGCCAAAGTAACTGGTTGTCTATATATATTAAGTAGCCCAAACACCTCCTTTGAGATGACAGTAGACAGAGTAGCTGCATTCAATAAATTACGTGAACTACTTACTTCTGCTCCCATATTATTTATGCCTAATCCAAATAAGCCTTATAAATTATATGTAGATGCTAGTATGGAAAGATTAGGAGCTGCCTTACACCAAATTCAAGATCAAGAAATACCAAAAGAAGGAGTCATTTGTTATATTTCTAGAACTTTGAAAGACAGTGAGAAAAAATACGGTGCCAGCCAACTTGAATGCTTATGTTTAGTCTGGGCCTTAGATAAATTATATTATTACCTTGATGGATGTGAATTTGAAGTAATTACTGATTGTACAGCCCTCAAAAGTTTATTAAGTATGAAAACTCCAAATAGACACATGCTCAGATGGCAAATAGCTCTTCAAGAATGGAGAGGAAGTATGACTATTAAACATAGAGAAGGTAATATACATAAAAATGCTGATGGACTTAGTAGATGGTCATTAGAAAATATACCAGATAACCCAGCCTGGGACGGAGAAATTGCTGCAAAAATTATGTGTTTATTCCCAGAGGAAAATAATGAAAATAATCCTGCCTTTGATGATAACACTGATGATATTAATATTTGTGGGTTACACATAACTGAAATGCAAGAAGAGTTTTGGGATGAAATTAGAATTAGTTATGACCAAAATAAAAATTGCTCCACCATCAAAGATATATTACAAAGTAATTTCAAAAATAATGATCTGATAAATTCCTTGGAAGAACCATGGCTTAGCTCATTTAAAGAAAATAGATTCTCTCTGTTAGATGGATTAATTTACCACAGAATTAAACATACAAGTGTAGTAGTTATTTGTTTAAAAGAACACATTAATTTATTTTTGAAAGAATGTCACGACAATATCTCTTCAGCTCATTTTTCCTTTGACAGAACAATTGAGAGAGTTAAACAAATTGCTTGGTGGCCTAATTTTAAGAATGATACTAAAGATTATTGTGAATCTTGTGACAGATGTCAAAAAGCAAATAAAGCTACAGGAAAAAGATATGGATTATTACAAGAAATTGAAGAACCCAAAGAAAGATGGTCTGTCATTAACATGGATTTTGTTACTGGATTACCACCTGGAGGACCTAACAATTTCAATGCAATTTTAGTAGTAGTTGATAGATTTTCCAAAAGAGCAAGATTTCTACCGTGTCATAAAGAAGATACAGCAATGGATACTGCATTATTATTTTGGAATTCCATTATATATGATGTTGGATGTCCCAGATATATCATTACAGATAGAGACCCTAAATTTACGTCAGAATTTTGGAGAAATTTATATGATTTATGTGGGACACAACTAAAATCTTCTACAGCTTACCACCCTCAAACAGATGGACTAGCAGAAAGAATGATTCAAACTTTGGAAGACATGATCAGAAGATATTGTGCCTATGGTATGACATTTAAGGATAAAGACAACTATACTCATGATTGGTGTTCATTATTACCTGCACTTGAATATGCTTACAATTCTAGCAAACACAGTACAACAAATAAAACACCTTATGAATTAGAAAGAGGTTGGACTCCTTGGTTTCCAAAAGAAATTTTAATGTCAAAAGCAGTACACATACACCCAAGTGCCTCTGATTTTCACTTTATGATGACCAAAGCTGAAAAATATGCAGCAGAATGCGTGAAATTAGCTGTAGACTACAACAAAACTAGATGGGATAAAACTCACAAAGCTCACCAGTTTAAAGTTGGAGACCAAGTCTTAATATCTACATTTAATTTTACAAACCTGACTGGCCCTAAAAAATTGAGAGATTCCTTTGTAGGACCTTTTACAATCAAACAATTACACGGTGCAAATGCTGTTGAAGTTATACTCACTGGAGAATTAGAAAGAAAACACCCTACATTCCCAGTCAGTCTAATTAAACCATACAAAACTAGTGATAATGATAAATTTCCTTTAAGAAAAGATAACATCAGAGTTGTAATACCTCCTTTAGAAAAAGAAGAAATTAAAATCAAGAAGATATTACAACATAGAAAAATCAGAAAAAACAATGAAGACATTAAACAATATTTAGTAAGATACAGTGGTACCAAAGAAGATGAATGGCTTACAGTTGATAAAATACCTGATGCTGATAAAATTCTCAGACAATACAGAGCTGATAAAAGAAAATAACATTAATTTATTTCTTGGATCAGCCTTTTTTAGAGGGAGGAAGTGTCAGCCACAGAGTACATGTCACAGTACCTTTCATGTACCAAGTAACTGCAACACCTGTACTTATGTACATAAGTACTTATCCATAATGTTGATTACCTTTAACTCTTGTTATCTTATCTTTATTATTAACTTATCTTATTTATCTTACAGTTATCTTATCTGTTAATTACTTATCTATTAAATACATACCTGTGTTCTACATAAGTAATTATCACTTACCTTTCACTCCCTTGTCCGTGAAATACCTGTACCACAAGTTATCCCTCTGCTACAGTATTTTCACGGTCAAATATTATTACAAATAAATATGTACATGTATTAAATAGTAAGTATTAAGTGTCAATAGAATTAATACATTCAATACATGCACTGATCACAATTATGACTACATTATTAGAGGATCTGTCAAGTGCACGCATCAAGAGCAACTAGTAGATTGATCAACTAGTACACAATTATGATGTCACTTACAGATCATGACAAATAATGATCAGTCACTCAATTGATGTGCTCATTCTCCTGGCCAAAGCTCCCTTGATTCTGAGCGCTCATTCTTTCCCTCCTTCAATATTCTGGAACTTATAATCCGTGCCTCTTTCACTGATTAATCCCCAGAATATTCAGACACCAGTTAAACCAGTTAACATTTATATTGATACAGTACCCGTAACCAACATAAATCTTGTCTACCTTTATTGTTCTTAAGCTTCAGTACTCTTACTCAACTTATCCACAGTATTCATAGCCTTGCTGAATATTCCCATCAACAATACCTATTAATCTTCAACTAATTTTGTTAAAGCTTAATAAGTATTGTTAGCCCATTCCCTTTTGGGAATAACCAAATCAATCCCAGGTGAGTCTTAGTACCCTGGATGCCTATTAATACCTTGTATTGATCCGGATGCACTGTTGATAGCAAGCCTCTCAGTAAAGACCATACTGATAGAGTGAAACCTCCTCTTTACAGGACTGGTATTAATCACCCACTACCTAACACTCACCACGCTCAAAAACTTCAGTCAACTCATAGTAACAACCTTTTTACTATTAAATACTCAGGTTAGTTACCCAGAGGCTGACATTGTACCCTTCTCTTCTCCAACTAACTTTGCCCCCGTCTTCCACCTCCGCTCACAGATAAAATCCCACAGGATGGTCACATCACTTTTCACTGGATTAATGATCAACAAGCAAATCTGGCGCCCAAGCCAACTCCAGCAGAGGGCCCGCTACATTGTCAAATGATCGATCTGAAAGAAGTGCCCAAACAGGAATGATCCTCGTTACTCAAACAATCAATGACGGACTCTCGGACGATGACGGGACTGGTGACCCCAATCATTGAAATGGTCAAGACTAGGGGCGATCAAGGACTTTTGGAGTCCGTCCAAAGATTTGACAGGTGCGGGTTTGTAGTCGAGACAATGAAGGGCGTTGTCTGCTCTCGATTTGTCTGTCCGATTGATTGGGTTGGGCTTTATGTTCCAGGCAGGACCGTGATTCTTCCCTTGACCGCCTTGATGCTAGCCATTCCGGCACAAGTGGCAGGATGTGAAGCGATCAGCATCGCGATGCCAGCGCGGGCAGAGGGGGCAATCTCGGCGGAGATCATGTACATAGCCCAGAAGTGTGGGGTGCAGGAGGAGCACATGCGATTGCAGCCTTAGCCTACACGGCGGGAGCAGCTCGACGAGGGGAGTTCGACGAGTGTGCTGTCCTTGGTACTTTGTTCGACCCCGCGCAGGATGACAACGACTGACCCAAGCCCCCGGAGACAGGTCGCTACCTAGCAAGTAGGACCGCTTGTCCACAGGCTCCTTCGACGCCCCACAAAGGGCATGACAACCCTCACCGTCGAATTGTCGGCTCCTCCGTCGACCCTGCGCCCCAAACAGCAATGCCATAACTTTAATGGATGACTGAATACAAGCAGTCGACAGGCCCGAGTCACTTCAGTCGATCCGCCAACCAGTTGAGGGCAGCAGGCCGCCAGGCCACATTGCCACGAGTCACAGAGTCGGTACTCAAGCCATCCGGAAAGGTGGTTCATTGTACGAGAATTGGACCTGGGACTTGCCCACTCGAAACTCGTCAAAAATGGGAGCTCTCTGACCAGCCGGTTGGCGTCAACGAGAGTTGGGTTGAGGGGCCAGAAAGACCGGGTCTTTTGGGGGGGGGGGGTAGGGTAATTTTACTTCTAGCTAGGTACAGATTCAAGCAACAACATCGTTCACACACATCAAAGTATACACTATCACAGGTTTTTTTTGGTGGTTTTGTTTTGTAGTTTTTTTTTGTCTTTTTTTTTGGTGGTTGTACTACGTATTCAGACAAAGTGCAGAGCCGATCACATTTTTTTCTGGTTTTAGAACGTTTATATATTTTTTTGGGGGTTTTTTAAGAATGTAACGGTAGATGTTTATATTGACGAAAAGCTTTTGGGATGCAAACCACAAAAAATATGTAGGTGAGACAGCCAGAACATACGACCAGCGAGCGTAACAGTCGAACCAACTCTGGTTCATTCAAATCGGACACCAGCCAACTCTTCTCCTTCATAAGGTCCTCCGGTTCGTTGGGGAGTAGCCGCAGCTATCGCCATTTGCTCGGAGACTTGCGCTTCAGTTCGGAGGACTATAAGGGCAACGGGGATGCCTTGAAATAGTTGATCGCCAAAAAGTTGTCGGTCCAAGTTGACAATCAGTTGGGCATACCTGAGCCGAGGTGCTTGATTAGTTTCCGGGTCAAGTTTGGGGATCTGATGAGGAGATCACTCACGCGTTCTTGTAATTCTCACTCTGACTCCTTACATGCTCCAGCTGGCGATCGATGAGCTCCCACTGAGTCAAGTTACTGCCACGATTGGGATGCAAAAAGTGATGTATCACCTCCAGGCGAACGTAGGCAAGTCTGATCCTCATGCTGGGGGTATACTCCCGGAGGATCTGGTCGACCGATCTCAATTGAGATTGACCACCCATGGCCCGATCGACCTATTGCAATCAAGTATATTGATTCATTATGCTTTCAACCAACAGATCATCAAGAGTGACTTACAATCAAGATCAAGTCCATCAAGGGTGGAGGTGGCCCATGGATTGGATGACGATTGAACTCCTTGACATTGGTCAGAAGCTACACAATGTGTGTCAGCTTGTGAATTGAACCAGTAGATCCACAAATACAAACTTACCGCATTCCGAAGTGCCCCTCGCTTGTGCTTGGCAAGATCTCGTAACAAGCCCATGACACTATGTCTGGAGAGTTGATTTTCCAGCCATTCAGGTGGGAGGTAATCATTTCGGAACTCCGGGGTTTGTTCTTCAAGGAAAGTCTGGGGATGCAAAAAGGGTCAGTTGACTAGCTGTTGCGAGGGCGGCACAAGCACTCACAGTTAACAACACAAGAGGTGTCAAACCAATTGGGACGCCTCGGAGAGTTTGGGTTCGGGTGTACGCATGGAGGTTGCCGGTGAGCAAGATCACCTTGAGTCTTCTACGCAAGCAGGTCTACAGAAATCATCCATTTATTAGTGGATCACATTAATCATTTGGTAGTTAAGATTGATCGTTTTCAACTCACACGCAACGCCGAGGAGTACTGGTGTGGCACAATGGCAGGAGGGCCCGTTTCACCATCTCCGATGCTCAGCCGTTGAAGAATGTTGGTCATCATCATGATTGAGATACGCCATCGGTCGTCAGGTGGGGTCTGGGATGTGCAGATGATGAAGATTTCAGCTTGTGTGTAGGACAAATGAGAGAAAAAAGGTGACAAACATGTGCGAGGCGGTCAATCAGGTCTGAGTAGATTTGATTGGTCTCCACCAAGCCAACAAGCTTGCCATCCGGTCTTCGGACAATGTCAGTTTCACGCCTTGGAGGCCATGGGACATACTCATCGGTCTCCATGGGTTCATCGACTCTGTACTCAAACTCTGCTTCCTCCTCTTCCTCGGTTATGCGTCTGTCATCAATCATCTCTTGATTGTTGAGAAATAGATTGGGTTGAGTGACGACCGGTTCTGGGGTTGGCTAATATTCTCATGGCCTGCAAGGTCCACAACTTCAATGGTGGGACGAGCAGCCCCCCGGATCGGATTGAAACGGTCTAGAAAGGAGTGGATGGTGGAACAGTAAGTTTAGGTTTGGGGCAACCTGAGGGCAACAAAACGACTGACTAGCACTTGCTGAAGGCTGCGCGGGGTCTGTAGATGTGCGCCTAGACGGGGTACGTGTCCTCCCAGAAGGAGCTGTGGGAGAATTGGTGGGAAACGATGGATACATGATCGGAATTCAATTGTTTGGAAGCACAAGACAGTGGGATAGCCCCTGCAAGGAGATTCTCAGTGGTAGAGGTACGAAAGTTTGGGTAGAGGGGGAGGTGAGCAATGTTGGATTGCACTCAAACCCAACAATTGGAATTAGCAGTCTCGGGTGAGGGAGGTTCAGATTGCTGGAAGATGGGGGAAAGATGTTGGGTGGAAAGCGTGAGAGGAGGGAAGAGTCAACTCTTCTTAAGCAAAAATTCCTGGACTGAGGCGGGTTGGAAAAACAGACAAGTCCCAGCTTTCCTGTCTTCCCCCTGACAATCAGCAACAGCAGGTCTCATTTCAGAATGGTTTGACAACACCCTGAAATTGGAGAATTGTGCCGGCTTGATCCCCCATTGCATTCCAGTGAAAAACCAAATTCAGACCGATTGCAAGCAGTGATATTGTCTTGCAGGTGATCTTTGGCATTTCGATATAGGTCGGACTCATCTTAGACGGTTTGCAACCCGGCCGATGTGGAACTGCTCAGCAAGTGAGTAACGAGCTTGGAGGGGATAAAATAGCTAATAAGACTATGAAATAGTAGAATTAGTATTGGTGTGTGGGTGAGACTGCCCTCCTGTCTAGCTTGCGGGAAAGTTACACTAAGAAAAATAAGAGTGTGGCTTATTTCTGAATTTATCTTAGTGTTGATATTACTGTTATTGTTGCTTAAGAATACCTGTTGGAGAGGTAAGGAGTTTGTGGGGTTTTCTGAGTAATAAGGGTTTCTGAAGGGTTTCTCTGATATAAATTCTCTCTGGTCTCTGGTCTCTCTGGGCTCTGATAAAGGGTATGCTTATTTCTCTGATATCTGTTGCAAAAGAGTTGAGGATGGCTAAGCAATATCTCTGAATTACTTGTCTAGGGCCAAAATTGAGGTAAGGGAAGTTCAAGGGCTCTAATATTCTCTGGATCTCTTAATCAAAAGGGTGATGAAAGCTAAGTAATATCTCTGATTACTGTTCTGTAGCTAGCATCTGGTTTTGATGAGTGCTAAGTAATATCTCTAATTACTTCTCTGGTGCAAACATGAGGAGGGAAGAGGAAAACCTGGGCCAGAAGAGCCTCTATTTATAGACAAATTGTTCTGCAGTACATGGGTTTTTGGCCTGAACACAAGTTTGTCTGAGAAGGGTACTTCTAGAGTGGTTTTTACTACTCTGAGATGGCCTAGTCTGATATGAATTAGTCTCTAAGTGCCAATCTAATACAAGAGGTTGTAAATCTACTATATGAGGCCTATTCTTAGATTAATTGCTATGAGAATGGTATTCTTAGACTATTTAGTATAAGAGTTATTTTCTAGAACTAGTCTGTGAAGTACTTTCTGATCAATACCTTGATTTACCAGTCTAAGATGGATGTAGTATCTCTTTATGTGTTTTTACAATCTATTTGTATAATTATTATTCATAAGGATTTATGTATTTTAGGCCTGGTTTGGGCTTTATCTTAGCTATGTTTTAACCCAGTAATTATTATACATTGTATTCTATATTTTACCCCTTCTTCTCTAACATCTTAAACACTATTTATGTGTAATAAAATATTTTTAACTAGATCTATGGGTTTGATTAATCTCACCACATCCTCCCCCAACTTATTTGTCTGCCCTCAGACAAGCTCTCTGAATCAGATAATAAAAATTAAATTTTATATGCTTAGAATTCTTTGAGAAGAAGAAAGGAAAAAGAAAGATATATCGGGAAAAAAATTGGATTCTCAATTATATTCCCGTCCTGCAGTCTTGGAAATCTTGCTTGAAACTTTGAAAAAAAATTGCTCCAGGTTTTGTCTTCAGTTTTCATTCATGAAAGTTTAAATTTTTAAATCTTTCAGAGCCACGGCGCGGTTTTCTTGAATTTTTCTTGCTGAGTTTATGTTTTGTAACCGGATTTTGTTTGAATTCTCGCGCAGCAAATTCGGTCCCCGTTTGGCCGCAGTCTTTTTCGGTATACGCGGGATTTCACCTTGTTCCTCTAACTTGTTTTCAAAATTCTTAGCGAACATTCTAAACTCGAGTCTCCGGTATGTGAATCTCTTTTATCGATCTTTATTTCTTTTTCACAAGTTTTTATAAAAGGGAAGAAGCTGATCCAATGTTGGATTTTTAAACTTTGTGATCTTTTATCAGTCGAAACACTAAGTCGTCTAGTCTCGAATCAATCTTGGATCCGTTCTTCGATTTCATTCCCAAACCACCTAATCGATTTCGACCTCAAGTTTTCCCTTGACGTCGATTCCCGTGATCCCTCGATTTCTAACGACTAGTCTTAAATGAGGATATTTAGTTTGTTGCTTGTTTCTCTTACTTCTATTTCGTATCTTTCTCCTTTCCCATACAGCGACCATTCTCCAACTGATGCGTGAATTCGTAAACGACTTCTCTAACGACTTGTAGGATTTCAATTTGTACTTGATTCTAGGATTGGCTCGGCTGATGAAATTTGATTCTGAATTCTTAGGTTATATTACATTGTGAACACTTCGTTGGACCTCTCTCTTTTTTTTAATCGATTCCCCTCTGAAAGTATCTCCTTTGCGACTGGTCTACGCTCGCCTTCGAACGACTTTCACAACTTGTCTCTAAGGCGCTTGGCGACCGGTCTAGATTCCAGTCTCAGGTATGTGGTTTTCACTTCTTTTTTTTATTTCGATATTCTATTTCCTTTCTCAATTTTCTATAAAGGAAGAATGAAGGAAACTGTTTTAGTTATCGGATTAATAGGCTCCGTGCTCTTATATCCGTCGAAACGTTAAATGTCTAATCTTGAGTCGATCTTGGATGCGTTTTTCCATTTTGTTTTAGGCCGGCTAGTCGACTTCGACCACAAATTTTCCTTTGACAACGGTTTACCCATCTCCAAGTTAAAAATTTCCCCTCCACATCCTCTTGTCTGTAACGGTCTTCGATTGGCGTTTTCTTACACAAACATTATTTCTTTTCTGTGTGTGATATATCCTGCCGAAATTAAATTACCACCGTTTGCTTCCTTTGCAGGTTGAGACTGTCAATCCCCTTCTGGACGCGATTTTTTTTCTCATCTTCCAACTTTATTTACAAAGGAAAAAAAATGTTCCTTCGAGCGGCGACTTTGGTTTTTCCATCGTTCGTGAATCAAACTTTCAACGCCGGCCGAATTATTAGATTTCTAGCCTTGCTTATTCGACTGGATATTTGATCTGCACCGTGTCTCAAAGACTTCTTCTACTGATTCCTAGAACTTCATTTTGATTAAGGACCGACAATCTTTTCCGCCTTTGACACTTGAGTTTCCCTGATGTTCAAGCACTTCGGACGAATTATCAGGCGTTTCGACTCGAACATCGTCTCGGAAGGAAGCTCTCAACGATTAAGTAAGTTGTTTTGAAAGCTCGTCTTTAATCTTCTTCTCGTTACAGATTGTCTATCTTAAATTAATTCTCTGATGGGCACTCCAACCTTCTCTCCTTTCCACTCTCTCCGGATCTTTTTTATTTAACTGACTCGGTTTCCGTTCCATCTGCCTGATTCTTAGCCCTTGACAATTCCCATCGCTTCCGTCTCGAGTTATCCAAAAAAGTTCAAGGTAACGTTTTTTTTACTTGATTTGCTTCGCCTAACTCCTTAGCTAACTTGCCTCTATCACTCATTCCTTCGTATATATAAAAAAAAACTCCTGTTCTAACCGATCCTGTCTAGTCTCGACCCGTGCTTAAACCCGATAATCATCCCGATATTCATCACCAGCTCAAAAAAGCAATCAAAGGTATGACCTTTCCTTCATCCTCCAGTCCACCATTCTTGTCGTTTATTTACTGATTTCGCAATCTGTTTCTTTCTCTTGCTCGATATGAACTCAATTCGTTTGAACTTTCCCACTCTTTAGTCCTTTCCAAATTCAATTCCGTACCCGATCCCGAATCAAATCGCTATAAGGTATTCAAAGATAGATTCCCCTTTCTCTCCTTTTCTAAACGGAGACTATCACAACTAACACCCGTTATGTTTTCTTCATACATCTTTGAAATTCTGGTATTTAAACGATCTCGCCTTCCTCCAAACGCTTATTATCGAACTCTCGACTCGGTTCTAGGTTCGCTTCCCTTTTTTTTATCTCTTATAACTTGACCAACGTTACTAATTGCCCAATCGATTTTTTTTTTTTTATTATTTTTTTTTTTTTAAAATCAGCCCTTCCATCGTCGGCCAGCCCATTCAGTTCCCAAGCCGTAACAATTCCGCCACCACGCTCGATTTGACGATAATCCCAAAAGAAACCAGGTATGCTTTTCTTTCGTTTTCCAGCTAGCCCTCCTTATTATTTGTTTTACTGATTTCACAACTTATTTCTTATCTTTTCTCTTTTTTTAGGTTTGTTTGACAAGTCCCATTTCCTGTTTGACAAAACTGTTCTCGTTTGTTTATTAATGCCGTTGGACTATTCAATCTCGTTCGCCTCCGTCCGCTTTTTTTTAAAAAAATGCTCGGTACGTCCCTTTTTTCTTCTGTTACCATTCTATTGATTGATGATTCCATACTAACTAACCCTCTCTATTCTATTCCTCCCTTCATCGACTTCCTTTCTGCCTCGCAGTTTCTTTTGACACTATCCCATCGCTAATTGGATTTTTTTTATTTGTTTTCATTTTCTTCCTTTTTCTATAGGAAAACAATGAACTCGT